CACTCTCAGTGAATTGTTTAGAATAAGAGGTGGTTAGAGATTAAGATATTTTGGTTTCGAGGAACTGAAGCACCCTTATTCTGTCTAAACCCCTAAAGGAGCATATTTGAAGGCTCTGAAGAGTTTCTCACCAAAGACAAGCAAGAGTTGAGTTGACAGTCAGTGATGTCCTGAAACCAGTTCACACTGGCTTGTGAGAGCCAATTCTATACATTATTTCCCAACTGCCTGTTTGGTGACGTCATTGTGATGGCTTAAAATAGGCATGGTGTTACAGTTTGGATATGCTTCTGTGTTAATGCAGAAATATTCAGAGGTAAAATGATTGAATTATGAGAGCTATAACTTAATCAGTCCATCCTAGTTTGAATGGACTGCTTGGGTGGGAAGTATAGGTAGGTGGGGCATGGCTGGAGGAGGTGGGTCACTGGGGGCATTCCCTGTAGCCTCCTTCCCTTTCCCTTTCTCTGCTTCCTGTCCACCATGAGCAAAGCAGCATTTCTCCACCATGTCCTTCTGCCATCGTGTTTTGTCTTATCCTGAGCCTATGGCAATGTACTTGTCTGACTATGAATTGAACCTCTGAAACTGTGATCTCAAACTTCCTCCTCTAAGTTGTTCTTGTCAGGTATCTTGGTCACAATGATGAAAAGCTAACTAACACATATGGTGAAATTATTTACACAACAGAAATCAGCAAACACTAGGAACTGGGGTTCTTTTTCCTTCACTTTCCTTATTCTTTATTTTTAAAGTCAGTTGTTAAAATTTTACAAGCACATCACTAAAACCAGGCCATGAGCAAAAAACAGGGAATATCAGGGGCCTCATCAGCTGGAAACCGTGAACTTCCCGAGAGGTCTGCCATAAATGTGACCCAGCTCCAACTATCTCCAATCTCAGGATTTCTTCCTTCAAAACTAAAATCATTGGAAAGAAAATCCACATAGGGCACAGCATCTGCTTTTGCTCCCAGCAGCTCTCTCCTGGAGTAGGTTCACTGGAGGGTGATCACACTGTGGGGGGTTCTCAAAGAAGGATCTATTGTTGAAAACTAGGTATTTACCCTCTTAAAACATCTATGCATTCCATTTATCTATCTACCACTTCTGGGCATAAGTTATTTCTTCCTACACAACTAAAGTACTCCCTCCCTCCCACTATGGTCTAGAATGTTCTGCTGTACTCCAGCCCACCCCCTTCCTAATGGCAGACTACTGAATCCACAGTTAGTGTCTTAGGGCCAAGCTTCTCAGAGTCTTTCATTTCTTTCAGTTTCTTAGACAGATTATCAAATTTGTAAAATATGTGGGAAATTAGCTTACACTCAAACACACTATAGTCAATAATGACAGAAGGAAGGAAGAAAGAGAGGTAAATTACAATAACTTCTATTTAAAAAAGGGAAATGATGATTATCTGCTCAAGGTGTACTATGGTTTGAATACGATTTGTCACCACATGATGAGGCTTGGGGCCTTTAAGAGGGGTTAATGCTTTTCTCTCAGGAGGAATTCTTGTTCTCATGGGACCGGACTGGTTACTGTGAGAGCAGGTTCTCCTCAAGTGATCCTGGCACCTTCCCTTGATTCTCTCACATACATACTCTTCTCCATGAGCCCATTTCCTCTTTGCAATTTTCCATTATGGATTGAACTGTCCTGATGCTCTCACTGGAAGCTGAGCAAATACTGATGCCATGCTCTTGAACTTCCAGAACTGAGCCAAATAAACCTCTTTCCTATATAAAGTGCCCAGAGTCTGGTATTTTTAAGGGACAGGTAAACGGGCTTAGGCAGCCAGGGCAAGATGGCAAGTGAGGAGGTTGTGGGCAGGACCAGAAGAAAGGAGCATGGAGAGGGTCTTCTAATGACATCGACTTACTGCTTGACAAAAGTGCTTGTGGACACAAGCAGGGAACCCAATCAGACAGATGCTTCCGTACTCATGCTCTTAAACAGAGGATCCAAGAGAAAAACTAAAACAGACATTGAAGCCAGAATTAGACAGTCAGTCAGTGTAGATAGATCTGGAAGCCAATTTTGAGTGAGTCTGGGAAGTTGGAGATGGTCCCCTGAGGGATCTTATCAAGAACCTGCCCCTGCTCCAACCCAGGTAACCTGTCCCAGGAATTTCCCCTCCCTACAGGGAGCTATAAGGTTGTTAATGTGTCCTTGTCTACTCCATCCTGCCAAGCAGGAGGAGAAAGATAAGGGGGGAAAGGCAGGAGAACAAAGGAAGCCTAGGACATATAAAAAGGGCAGAACACCTCGCTTCTTGGGATACCAGGATACCAGCTTTGGTCCCCTTCTCCCTCGCGGAAGAACTCTGTTACCCCTTTAAAATAAACCCTGCTTTATATGCTTGCCTTGGTGCGCTTCCCTAATGTTCAAACTTCAACATCTGGGGAAGCAGGACTCACCGATAACTGGCAGTATCAACATGTGGACAGAGAGGGCATCAATCAATAACAGTGAGGAGAGCATGGACAGGGGAGGAGATAAGGAAAGGAGGAAATTCCAGAGACCATAAAAAGAACAGGCCAAGACACCCCCACACTGGATTCCCAGCTCTGAGGCCCCTTGTCTTTGGAGAAGTCTATCTCCGTCACTTTTGCACTAAACCTACTTCTTGCTTGCTATCTTTGTATCCTGTTCTTCAATCCTTTGCTGAACAAACCCAGCACCCCTAGACAGTAATATTTTGCTGTAGCAACACAGCACACACCAAGACAAGGAGCATTCCTGCGCTCTGGAATTCAGCGGGCCTCTGCAGCAAGTTTTCCATCAAGGCTCACTATGGTCTTAAGTGGCAGAGTAACTTGCTTGCAATCTGAATCAGTTGAAAAGCCTGTCCAGAGCTCTACATTGAAGCTCACTGTTTTTATTCTATCAGGTGAATGGGAAACACCTGGTCATCCACACGTGTGGGGTAAAGCCTCCAAAACCCAGCTGTGCCTCTTTCTTAGTGGTAGGAGGCATAAAGCGTTGTTTTTCAAACTTGGCTGAGGCCTGGAATTTCCTGGAGCACTAATATTCATGCCTGGGTCTCATCCCAAAGACTCCTGTTCAATAGGCATGGGGTAAAGCCTGGATGCTGGATTTTTTAGTTTCCCATATGATTGAAATATGCAGTTAAATTAGAGAATGACTGGCACAAAATACAGCAATTTTCCCTGAATTCCTACATTTGCTTTGCATTTTTGCAATTTTTCTTGAGGGAAAATTGCATTTTTATTGTTTGGGACTCGTTAAACTTCTTGAATCTGTAAGTTTATAATTTCTGTAAAATCAAAGTTGGGAAATTTGGGGCTATAATTTCTTTAAGTTTTACTTCTCCATTTTCTCTTTTCTGCATTTCTGGGAATCCAAATACTTGCATATTAGACTACTTGATAACTCTGTTATAGGTACTGAGGTTTTATTTATTTATTTTAACAAAGCATTTCCTTTCTTTTTTAATAAGATGATTAATATTGAATTATCTTTTCTTTCATTGACCGTTTACTCTTCAGGGTTCAATCTGTCAGTAAGCCTCACCAGCAGTATATAAAATATAAATACATATTTTAAAAAGTTCTAGAAGCCCATTGTTTTTGTAGCTTCCATCTCTTGGCTGAGAATACCTATGTGTTCATTCATTTTGACAAATTTTTCTATTAAATCCTTAAATTTTTTTCATCATAGCTGCCTTTAAGTTCTTGATGATCTCTTTCAATATCTTCATTACACCAGCTTGCCAGGAAGGAGAGAGTACTGACTGAAAGAGGCACAAGGAAAGTAACTGGGGTCCTGGAGATGGTCACATCTTAACTAAGGTGGTTGTTAGTCACATGTGTATATATATAATAAACACAATGAAAGGCACACTTAAATTACATGTTTTACTTTATGTAAATTATAACTCAATTAAAATTTTATTATAAAGCTGTTAAAAATCCCCTCAAAACAAAAGGAGCTTGAAGGATGTTATTTTTAGGAACAGGACAAAAATATAGCCCCCTAGAATAAAAAAGAGGTTACTGGAATATGGATTGTCTTGATCATACATTCTTTCATCATCAAAAGAGAACCTGATGATGTCATCATTCACAGAAGACTAAAATACTAAACACACCTGCTTGAGAGTGACATAGAACCAGTACTGGGCATCTGATTCATGATTTTTCAAGGGGTTCAAAATGTCCTGCTTGAAAACTGTCTTGCTCTCATACAATTTCCACATCTCTTCAAACACATCTTATACCATAAATGTTATCTCCAGTAAAGAATCTGTCTAAATTCCTCCATGATCTGAGGAAAACAACAGGTAAGAGATTTTAATTTAAACCAAATTTAGCCACACCTAATTCCTCGTCTGTGCCTAGACAACTTCATATTGGTGGTTTAGATACCGTAAAGGAGTTTTATAACGTTCATGACTAAAAATTCAAGGTCAATGCACAGATAACCTAAAAATTACAGTTGAGTCTCCAGCCAGTGCTCTGAATCAATTTTATTTTCAAGAACTTTTACAAAGGGGCATATGTTTTATGTTGCCATCAGTCTCATCACCTTTTTGTAGTGTTCAACACCACAATGCCACGTAACTAAAGTAATTATCTTCCTTCATACAAATCTTTAGAGTCCAGGTAAGTCCTTTCATAATTATCTTTTCACTGACACTCTACCCTAGAGTTAGGCTAGGAAAGGGATTTTCACATTTATTTTCCGGAGAAAAAGCCTTTAAATCTAGGAAATACGAAGGTTATAAAACCTCTTAATCCAAGAACATCTAAGACCCACTAATGTTCTAAGACTTCCTGCAGCTGGCTCAAAATAAAACCAAGTGCATCCACTGACTCAACTCGATTTTCACGTAGATAACACCTGAGGAGCAACAGTGCCTTAATTGTGGTCCACTGTCTAGTTATCTAGTTTAAATCACCAAGAGCTTACTCTCTTAATACTGTGCTAAATTTAATCTACTTTCATCTGTTTTTTTTTCCTCCCAGGAAAAGAATGAAATACAAAAGGAAAATAATGATATCATTGATTTTACTGTATCTATGGGCCTTGCACACAAAGTATTATTTCAGGTAACTATAAAAATTTAATGAATGTTTTATTCTGACACTTGGAAAGGATCTGTTATGTCACAAGGTAAAAAGCCCATAAATAAATCGGCATCCAGATAGATCAGTCCAATAGTACCTGAACATATACAATATACCTAAATTCATCAACATAAACCTAGCCTTCAGCATCCAAATCCTTTGTTTGTAGTGGGCCCAAAGGCGCACTACATGTGTAAGCCCTCCTGTGTGAGGAAAAGCAATAAGAAGCTAAAATATTATGGCAGTTTAATGTTTGTAATGTCAGAGAAAAATTTGGAAATAATTAAGATCTTTAAGAAAAAATCCTAACGTTGGTGACTTCAGGTATATATATTGTATTTACCTTACATAATTAGAGACAAATAGACTTATCACTGATTAACTGCTCTAATGATATTAAGTAGGTTTCTCATTCATTTGTGTCTCAAAGAATTAGGTTGTAGATGTGTTCTTTTTAAAGGTACAGCATGTGAGGACCTACCTGTAATGATTTTCATCATGTTCATACTGTATCTCTATAACCACCATGTACTTGGCACATAGTAGATTTGGTAATATTAGGCAATAAAATAAATGGATTGATGTAGTCCTCCAGTCACCTTATATTCAGAAACACTGTTTATACATTTAAAAATAACATGTTTTTCTTTTGTCTTAAGCTCAAAGAAACTACGGATGATGATGTATAAGTGCTGGTAAGTTATTATTTACAAACATACTACAACCTCTTCTTCAAAGATAAACCCTGTTGAAGGGCATGAGGGTCTGTGAGTCCTTGGATCCTGCAGGCATGGTAAACCATGCAATTTTACAAACACATCTTGGAGATAAACTAAGAATACCAGAAGCCAAAGAAAGCATAGACTAGCAAAGTGTCGTCTGATGGGGAGTGGGAACTGGATACGGGAAACACATTTCCAGGAACCAGAACTTGGCCCCCAGTAACCTTGAGTTTTGAAAGCTCTAGGCAAACATACAGGAGTAAAAGCTTGCTAAATGACTCTCAAGAGATGTCACTAGCTGGGTGCAGTGGCCCACACCTTTAATCTCAGCAGCTCGGGAGGCTGAGGCAGGAAGATTGCAAGTTCTAAGCCAGCCTCAGCAAAAGGGAGATGCCAAGCAACTTAGTGAGACCCTGTCTCTAAATAAAATACAAAATAGGGCTGGGAATGTGGCTCAGTGGTCATGGCCCCTGAGTTCAATCCCTGATACCAAAGAGAGAGAGAGATGGGGGGGTGTCATTAACCACACACCACCTCTGCAATCATACCATCAAAATATGTGCAGAGAGAAAAACTTTCCCAAAGATTGTGCAAGATCCAATACTAGTATAAATTCTTCAAATTATTCATACAGTCATGGAACCCCACAGTAAAATGAAGATTAACTTTCCTTTTTGATATTTATTGTGTCCAAGGCCTTGTCTCTCTGATGGTTCTGTGACTTACAAGAGCCCTATTAAGAGCATGACTAGATAACTAGGTAATCTGTGCCATGCATGAAAATAAGATATTAAGATATATGTTATATATATATACATATATATAAAACATACCTTCTTAATATGACATATATATATACATATATATAAACTTTTATATATATATATATATATATATATATATAAATCTCCACAACAAACAGAGAACAGTGACTAATGACCTGAAAACAGGCAAACCCCTAGGCAAAGATGGAAACATTAAAGGGAAGTCTGCATCATAGAACCTGGAGAAGGAATAGATCTAAAATGTTTTCTGGCAAATGTATTTAATGCAATACCACCTACCAACAAGTCTCTGTTATTAATGTTAGTTCAAAATTCTATGGCCTTAACATACTAATATGCATCATCCAAAGGCAATGGTAGTGGGTGTTTGAGTAGAACTCCAGGTCTTAGTCACATCCTTGACATTGCAGTTACTCCTCTCTGTGCACCTAGGGATAGAGTCTCTTGATATATGACTCAGCTCCATAGCTGCCTGATCACTTCCTTAACTCATCCCAGGATCGGCTCTCCAGAGGGGCCCCAGCTCTGTAGCCAGGGTGCCATTAGAATGTATGGCAAAGAGGAAATAGAAGGAGTCAGGTGAAACTGCTTGTCTTTCCCTTCGTGTGTAACTCTGGGCAAGATAATAAAAGCTCTCTCTACCTCAATTCCTAATCTGGTAAAATGGGATAATAATAGTAATAATACCATCTCATATGGGCTGCTATGTGGGATAAATTAGATAATACTTAGGAAAGAATTCAACGGGTGTTAGCTATTAATCTCATTTAGCAGATTAAGAAACACTTTCCTTAGGAAGGGCTATTTAAAATGGGATCTGAAGGCTAGGTGGAAATTAGCTAATTAAAGTTGTAGTATGTTTAAGCAAATTGTGATAAGGGTCTGGAAGGAGATATGGCTGAAATAGTGTAAAGACTGGGTCATGTCACACATTGTGGCCATGAACCATAAGACACAGAAAGCCAAAACCAAAAAGGAGGTACTTTGGAGAAATGATGACTTTAAAATTAAACATCTTCATTGTGTATTTGTTTGAAGAATCTGAGTACAGAGCTTTAGAACACGGTAAGATACACAAGTCTTTAGTTCATGGGTGAGGTTTTAGCTGTAGGTAACAATCTGAAACCACAGCAAAGTGCCAGAAGAGAGTGCCAGATGATTGGATAGAGGGATTAGGAGAAACCCTCTGAGAATAATTGCCAAATCCCAAATCAAGGCTCCTGACAATAAGATATTTAAGGCTAACCTTAGATGGAAAGTGGGGATATATTTCCATTGTTAAAGAAGGAAAACAGTTCAGTGCTATGGGTAAATTTGAAGATGGCATGTCAGAAAGTTGAGGAAGCTTTAATCTGATGGTGTTTTCTCTGTGAATGAGATGAATGAGGATGAGAACTATGAAAACACAAAGACTTCTGGGCAGCAAAGAACAAAGTTAAATTGAGGTTGGAAACCATGATTTTCCTATGCTACCACCATCAAAGTTCATCAGTGTTTTTTTTTTTCCTACTTCACTCTTATTTTGCATTTTATTATAATACAGCCCATGATTTCATAGACACTCAATTACCTCAAGCTAGAGGATAGAGTATGACTCTTTACATTATTTTTCCTTTTAGGTCTCCTAAAAATAAAACAGAATTGCATCTATCTGATTGGTTTAATCCCAGGTAAGAATTCAAATCTTACACATGTGAGGTTAATCCATAAAAGTAATAGATAATAACAATACCACTACTGGCATTCCAGATTTTGGAGAGTGGATAGATCTCTGATTACAATATTCTAAAAAATAGGCAGTGGCCAACTCACTGGGGCTGGGTATTTGGACCCATATTCTCCTTGAGTGACATTTTAAATTACATAAACTTAAAGGTGCGAGAACAGAGTCAGACCAAAAGTGTAAGCATGTGTTTGAAACCACATGATTGATTCTCCTGGTTTCACCAATGAGAGAAGCAGAGCCCAAGTGTGCAGGGCTCACTAAACTGGATTCAAGGGCTGCTCTAGGAAGAAATCGCCACTGTGGCAAAAAAAGATCACTGAGATAGGTCTTGCAGGAACAGGAAGCAGACAAGAAACCTGCAAAAAATAGGAAAGAGCAAGTTTCCTCTTCCTTCAGCCTTGTTGTTTTGTGTGGGCCTCTATTAGCAGAACCTAATGGTACCAGCTGGCAGAGGAGAAAAAGGATTTGCAGAGTCCTAGCCCCAGGAAAAGAAAGCAGAGTAGGGTATGGTGGGTTTAGTTATGAAAGACAACAGCTTAATAAATGCTACAGCATCCCATCAACAAGATCAGCAAGATAAATCCTATTAATTCAAGGTGAAGATTCATCACAGCAATGGACAAAGGAGAAACTATATAAGCATTTAAATAGATGCCAAATAGGCTAGTATCTGATAAAATTAAATTCCCACTGCATTTTTTCTTGATTACATTAATACTGAACACCTTCTCATATGAGTATTGACCCCTTGGATATTCACTTTTCTAAAGCTCCAGTTTGATCTCTCTTTCTCTCTCTGTTCCTACCAGATGACTAATGACTAATGATGCTGAACATCTTTTTATGTGCTTATTGGCCTCTTGTATACAAAAATGTCTCTGCCTATTTTTAAATTGGATTGTTTGTCTTTTTACTGTAAAAAGACAATAGAGTTGTAAGACTTTATATATTTTGGTTATTAGATTCATCAGATGTACAATTTGTAAGTACTCTCTCCCATACTATGAGCTGTCTTTTCCTTTCTTTATTGTGTTCTTTAATGAAAAGAGTTTTGCTTTTTTTTTTTTTTTGGTTACCAGGGACTGAACTCAGGGGCACTCAACCACTGAGCCGCATACCCAGCCCTATTTTGTATTTTATTTAGAGACAGGGTCTCACTGAGTTGCTTAGTGCTTCACTTTTGCTGAGGCTGGCTTTGAACTCACAATCCTCCTGCCCCAGCCTCCAAAGCCCCTGGGATTACAGGGAGGCATGCACCACCACACCCAGCAAGTTTTGCTTTTTAATAAAGTCCAAATTTATTTGTTGTGTTGCTATTGCCTGTGTTTTGGTTTTCACATATAAAAATCCATTGCCAGATACAAGATGTATTTTCTAATTTCCCTTGTCATTTCTTCTTTGACCCATTGGTTGTTTAAGATTATAATGTTTAATTTCTACATACTGTAAATTTTCCAGATTTTCTGTCATTTATTTCTCATTTCATTCCATTGCTGATGAAGATACTTTGTGTGTTTCTAGTTGTTTTTTTTTAAGTTTATTGAGATTTGTGTTAATCCAGCATATAATTGAGCCTAGTTCTTTGTGTACTTGAGAAGAATGTATACTCTCTTGCTAGGTAAAGTGTTTTGTGCATATTTTGATTTTTTTCTGCCTGCTCAAATCTTCTGCTAAAACCCTATCATGAGTTTTTTATTTCAGTTATTTGACTTCTCAGCTCCATAATTTCTACTGGTTACTTTTAATAATCTCTCATTATTGATGTTTTCTATTTGCTAAGCCATCATTTTCCCAATTTCTTGGTCTATAGTTCCCTTTAATTCTTGAAGCATATATCAAATAGTTGATTTAGCATCTTTCTCTAGTACATATAATGTCTGGATTCCTTGGAGACAATTTCTGGAGTCAGACGCGCTACCGTTGCGCAACGAGGTCCTTGGAGACAATTTCTGTTATTTTTTTCCTTGTGAATGGGCCATATTTTCTTGTTTCTTTTAATGCTTCATAATTTTTGTTAATAAGTGAACATTTTGACTATTGTATTATGGTCTCTCTAGAAATTATTCTTTATGCTCCTCAGAGTTCTTTGGGTTATAGTTGTGTTTGGTTGTTTTCTAAGCCAGTTTTGTTTTGGGTACCAGGGATAGAACCCAGGGGCATTCTGCCACTCTGAACCCCATCCCCAGCCCTATTTTGTATTTTATTTATAGACAGGGTCTCACTGAGTTGCTCAGCACAGTGCCATTTCTAAGGCTAGCTTTGAACCTGGGATCCTCCTGTCTCAGCCTCCCAAACCGCTGGTGTGTGTGGGCCTCCATGGCCAGCTCTAAACTAGTTTTAAAGCCTATATTCTTTTCATTTTTGGTCTCTGAAATCTCTGTTCCTTTAGCTTGTGGTCAGCCAATATCTAATAGAATTTCACTAAATACTTGGGAGTGGGGGATAGTGGAGATAAAGAGAGAAGGAAGAAAGATTAAGGGAGGGAGATGGAGGAGGAGGAAGAGAGGGGAAGAAAGGAAAGGGAGAGGAAGGGAGCAAGAAGGAGAAAAAGAAGAGAAAAAGAGGAGGGGAAGTAAGCAGAGGGGAGGGGAAAGGAGGGAAGGGAGTGAAAGGTGTGAGGGAAGGAGAGGAAAATATGGCTCAGTCTGCAGACTGCCCTGTTTGGGTACTCCTTCAATGCTTAGCCCAGCTGTTCTCAATTCTGCCTTAGTCTTAACTTCCTGCTTCACGGGGCCTCAATATCAACCAGAGGTGAAAACTTAAAGCATTTTCAGGTCTTTTCTGAGCATGTATCCTGCCCTTGGCATGTGCATGGATTTCTGAATTCCCTGTTATACACTGGAGACTATCAGAACCCTTACTGTCCAAAGTGACTCTCCTCAGGTGTTCCAGGGTTTCTAGTTTGCCACAACTATAACTTTTTTGCAGAGTGGCAGGATTTTTTTGTTGTTGTTGTTCTAATTAGTTATACATGACAGCAGAATGCATTTTGACTTTGTTTTCAAGAAACACCCTTCCTTTAGCTACCTTTCCACTCTGAGAGAAGTCTGAGTTTGGTGTCAGTTCTTCAGAGAGCCCTAGGACAAGTCAGAAGAGACACATCTCCTTGGGAACAGGTCCACTCTGCTCTCTTCAGAAGCAGATACCCACATTGCAGACACCATCTCCTGTCTTCAATACCACTGCCACACTGGGGAGGCAGTTGGGGATAGGCTAAATTAGAAGACCATGAAGGCTCCTTATTCCTACCTTTTACTTGGTTGCTCTAAACTTTTGACTATTCTCCACAGTTCTGATAAAGTTGATAACAACAGTATTACAGCAATATTAGCATTGGTAGCACTTCAGGGTGCAAAAACTAGGACAATCATTTTATAAAAACATGGCTTTTGAATATAATGTCAGAAAGCAAAACAAAACACTACTATGACCAGGATATCTTAGCTAGACATAAAATAAATCAATACTTTAGATTTTGGGTGGTCAGTTTAACTATGTTTCCAAAGACCTTGGAATCACAGTATAACTAATATACATGTGTTTTGGGAATGATCTTGCCATTTCTGATATGCTACTTCTTTAGTTTATCAAAACTGTTGCCAGGTGTGGTGGCACAAGCCTGTAATTCCAGCAACTCAGGATACAGAGAAAGGAGGATTGCAAGTTCAAAGCCAGCCTCAGCAAAAGGGAAGTGCTAAGCAACTCAGTGAGAGACTCTATCTCTAAATAAAATACAAAAATAGGACTGGGAATGTGGCTTAGTTGTGGAGTGCCCCTGAGTTCAATCCCCAGTACACCCCCACAAAAGAAAAACTGTCAAGGCTTTGGGTTAGATGTAAAGAAATTCTGATCTCAGAACTTCCTTAATCAAGGCTAATCAAGGCTTATCAAGGCTTTATCTTCTGTTTTTTTTTATTATATGTATCTTATTCAAAAATTCTCTTTCTTACAGACATAGACTGAACTTCACAGATAAGAACTTGAGTGTTACTGAATGGTCAGCTCCAGTTGTGTGGCATGGTACTTACAATGAGTCAGTCTTGGAAAATTATTATGCAAATCGTAAAATTACTGTGGGATTGACTGTATTTGCTGTGGGAAGGTAGGTAATGATTCAAATAACCTTTACATTCAGGGTTTTTGTTGCAGACAATGGGAGGTAATCTACTGAGCATTTTATAACTTCACTTAATAATTATTCTCTGTGGGCTGGGGATGTGGCTCAAGCAGTAGCGCGATTGCCTGGCATGCGTGCGGCCCGGGTTCGATCCTCAGCACCACATGCAAAACAAAGATGTTGTATCCGCTGAGAACTAAAAAATAAATATTAAAATTCTCTCTCTCTCTCTCTCTCTCTCTCTCTCTTTCTCTCTTTCTCCTCTCTCTTAAAAAAAAATAATTATTCTCTCTAGGCCAGTTCCTACTATAAGTCTAAATATCACCACCCAGTAGGTTCACTCAAAAGACATCCCAGGGCTGGGGATATAGCTTAGTTGGTAGAGTGCTTGCCTTGCACAAGGCCCCAGGTTCAATCCCCAGCACACACATGCACACATAAAAAAGACATCCCAACCTTAGGTTTCTTTTCCATTATTGATTTTGCAATCTTCTCCCAATAGTAACTTAATTTTCTGAGACTGTTGCCAATCTTATTATTTTTTTTTGGTGGGGGGTACTGGGAATTGAACCTAGGAGTACTTAACCACTGAGCCACCTCTCTCTCTCTCTCTCTCTCTCTCTCTCTCTCTCTCTCTCTCTCTATATATATATATATATATATATATATATATATAAAATATATATAATATATATTATATTATATATCTAATATATATATTAGAGACAGGGTCTTACTGATTTGCTTAGGTCCTACTCAGTTGCTGAGGATGGATTTTAACTTGCAATCCTCCTGCCTCCCCCTCTTGAGCCTCTGGGATTACAAGCACATGCCACCACACCCAGCTCAATTTTTGTTTAATTTCTAAGCAAACAGAAAATCAAAACCACTAAAAAAATTACAATTACAATTGAATATTTCCATTTAAAGATGGAAGAATGCAGCCACTGCACTGATTTCCTATCTTTTGAACCCCTAGGAGAACAACAAATATGAATTAAAAAAAAGAGAAGCCTTTAGGATCAACAAAAGTAGGCAAATTATTCCAAATCAAACATGTAACTTTGAAGATTATTTGCTAAATGTAAAATCTGGACCAAATATAGGGAAAACATCAAATTAAATGTAAACATCTACAAACCTCATTGTGTGCACTGGCTACTTAAAATAGTATAGAGTCCTGAAAAAATACAATTGATGATTCCTTATCTACAATAATGAGATCTGGGGGCATTAAATAGACCACTATTATATTCACTTAGGTGTCCCCAATCCACATTGATGGTGCTGCTTAGAAGAGACAACCCTATTCATACCATAAAGGTCTGTTTATTTTTCAATAATGTCATGATTTAGCAGTACCACTCTCTTTTCCTTTAAAGAGGAATGTATGCATTTTGTATTATAACAAACATGTAGTACAATCTATTCAACAAATACATATTCTTCTCAAGTGCACATGGAACACTGTCCAGTTAAATTATATTTAGACACAAAAGTTGTAAGGCATTTTTAAAAACTAAAATTAACCCAAGTTTCTTCCATGACCACACTGGAATGAAATTAAAAATCAATTACAGAAGAAAATCTATAAAATTCACAAATATATGGAAACAACACACTCTTAAATAGCCAATGGACCAAAAAGGAAATCACAAAAAAACTGAGTGAACAAAAATACAAGATATCAAAATTTATGAGATAAAATAAAAACAGTACAAGAGGCTATAAGTGCCTACATTAGAAAAGAATAAAGATCTCATATTAATAAGATAACCTTCTACTTTGAGGAACTAGATAAAAAAGAAAAGGGCAAACTAAGCCAGAAATTTTACATGTTACATTTTCCATTCACCAATTACAATGCAAAAAATAAATAAGGCCCTAAAACTCATCCAATAATTTAAAAACAAAAAGCAATTTCTGCTTAATTCCTTATCAAATAGGATGTCAAAATCACTGTTTTATATACATTTGTTACAGCACTAAGTGCCTCTACTGCTAAATCATGACATTACTAAAAACTCCACTATCCTTGATCAAAATTTTAAAAATGAAATGTTAGAGATAAATGAAATAGAAAATTAAAAATAGAATAAATAAAACCAATAATTGGTTTTTTGAAAAAAATCATCAAAATTGACAAACCTTTGGAATAACCAAATTTAAGAGATAGTCTACTAAATACTTGATCAGGCAGGACTCTTCAAAACTGCAAGGGTCATGAATAATAAGGAGAGAAAGCGTCACAGATTGGAAGAGACTAGGAGATATAATGAGTAAATGCAATGTGTGTTCTAGATTGAATCATGGAAATGAAAAAGGCTATTAGGGATAAAAATGGTAAAAATCAAAATAAAATCTGTAGTTAATAATATATTACTACTCAAAATTTCCTAGTTTTGATCAATGTACAATCATTAATGATATTAATGTTAGGAGAAGCTAGATAGTGTATATGGGAGCTGTCAATCATATATTTGCAACTTTTATGTACATTTAATATCATTCCAAAGTTGAAAGTTTTGTTTACTAGAAAAAATTTAAATTTTCTCTACATTACCTCATATACAAAAATCAATTCAGATGGATAATAGACAAATGCGAAAGGTAAAACAATAAAGCTACTACAAGAAAATGTAGAACATTCTCATTACCTTAAGTAGGAGGCAAAGCTTTCTAAAATAAGGCACAAAAAATCTAACCAAAACACACACACACACACATACACACACACACACAGATAAGCTGGCCTTTTTTGGTTGGATTCACGTACTAGCATCCAGCCCAGTCAAATATTTTAAGTGATATTTTCATAGTTTCTAATAATTTTAGATGTGTTGAACTAGAAACTTTCCTCCCAACCTGTAGTCTGCTATATTTTTAAAAATCTATATCAATATCCAGAACTTATTTCTTAGGATTATATAACCTTTATTTGAAATTGAGCCACCTTTCCTCTTTTGAATTAAACTAAGAAATTTTATTTACTCTGAAATCTTTTATTGACTTGCAAGACTGAAAATGAGAAATTTTGTTTTCCATCCCCGCTATTTTAGCACCATAGAAAGAGCCATAATACAAACTAAGAAAAACAATGTGGAGTGTTTTTCTTTGCACTGCTGACTATACCATCTCAGATCTTGTATGCATAACTATTCATAACACAAGCTGTGGACAGCAACAACTCCTCTTGCAGAGACCCAAGACCTTTCCTGCCTGCAACTCCCAAAACGAGTTTCATCGCTCTTATAACCCTGAAAATTCTGGCTCTTATTTGTTTTTTGTTGTTGTTGTTATTTTGCGGGGGGTCTGATCTAAGTTTCATTTCTCTTATGAGGAATGTCTATTGTATGATCTGTAAAACTCCAACAGCAAAAGAACACGTGGATAATTTCCCTTTCTTCTATGCTATTCAAAAAGCATATCTAATTCTGGTTGCTTAGTAGCATGGCTGGATAAGTTACAGTTCATGTATTTTGATTATATGTGTTCCACTAAAATATAAGAAGACAAACTTCACTTCTTATTTACTTCACAGATACCTTCAGTTCTATTTGCACAGTTTTTTGTCATCTGCTGATAAGTTTTTCATGGTCGACCAGAAAGTCATCTTTTATGTCATGGTAGATAATTTTTCCACTATTCGTTGGATGCCTCTGAGCCGCCTCCACACATTCAAAATCTTTAAAATTAAACGAGAAGAGAGATGGCAAGATATCAGTATGGTGCGCATGAAGATCATCAGTGAACATATTGTGGATCACATCCAGAATGAAGTTGACTTCCTTTTCTGCATGGATGTGGATCAAATCTTCAGAGGAAAATATGGTTTGGAGACTCTGGGAGAGTCAGTAGCTCAGTTACATACTTACTGGTATAAGGCAAATTCTACAGTGTTGCCTTATGAGAGAAATCAGTTATCAGAAGCTTATATACCTATGGGTGAGGGAGATTTTTATTACCATGCTGCTGTTTTTGGTGGTACTCCCATTCAGGTTCTCAATATTGCCAGGGAATGCTCCAAAGGAATCATGAATGACAAGAAAAATAACATTGAAGCAGTGTGGCATGATGAAAGCCACTTAAACAAATATTTCTTTCTCCATAAACCCACTAAAATCTTATCATCAGAATACTACTGGGATTTATATCAAAAAAGGACTCCTGATATTAAAAACATTAAACTCTCTTGGGATATTAAGAATTATGAACTTCTTAGAGTGAATGATTAATTTTATAGCCCTTCCTTCATGTTTCTGAATTTAGGGCATCATTTTGTCTTATTGCTTAGAAAATTAGCACTGGATGAATTTTAGCACTAAAAGTTCGACTACCGAAAAGGTAGGCCCACCAACACAACAAACATGCTTTTCCTCACATTCATTTTGAGTCACATAACATGGAACATAGTCATTGTAGAATGAATTTATTGAAATCAGATGGAGATGGAGTAGTTTCAAACCTTGTATGAATGTTGAAGAAATATTATTTGTTAGATCACACAAGAACAGAATATAAAATAAAACCTGAAACGTTTCAATTGATCCAAGAAGATGTAAATTTCTCATATTGCTTAAGAAAAGGGGTTGTTTAGTGGTATGGGGAAAGGAAGATTCTTGCAACTATGCTAATACGACCAGTAGGTAAAACCTTGAAGACATTAAAGCAGCTATTAGATGGGCAGATAGTTACTTAAGAAAATTTGAGTCAGTCAAAAAAATACATATATATTGTTTTACAAACAAATGAAAATAAAATTTATAGAGAGAAAAACTAAAATATGCTATTTACTTTCCTTTTGAAAACCTATCCTTCCATCTTTTGCACAAATGAACAAGCACTTTCTTCCCCAAAAGGTGGAACACCAAATACTATCTGACATGGTCCCACACCATATCAGATGTCTAGGATTCCCAGATGATGGAGGATCCCAGCTGTTGGCATGTTGGATATTTAGCAGAGGAGATAGCAAGGCCATTGTTCATGAAAAGAAAACTACCTTACTGAGCCCAGGAACAGGCTCCATCCCTGCCACCAAGGCCACTTTGTACGTAGACCCATTGATGAAGCACTGTGGTATCTACAGAAAGAGGCTGGCTGATCTTGCAGAATTGATTATCTCATTTACTTGATTACTGAGAATTTCCTCTACTGATATTGCTCTTTGGAGAACATTTTCATGGGACACATAAATCATCGCTGTGTGTGCCTATTTCCTAAGTCCATAAAGGACTTCATATTTTTTCACCAATTTTCCAATCTGTCCAAGTTCAATCTCATATAAACTTATATTTCAATGGATTGCAGATGCATACATTCACACTTTTAGTTTGTTCGATCAGAGAGCATTGAATTATTAATGGGTAGGGGAAGAAATAGTTCAAGTACCCATGGATCAAGCATCGATTCTCTACCTGGCCCATGCAAAGAGGTACAGATCTTGCTGTGTATATTGAACCTTTCATAGAGCCTTCTCTTCAAAATGTGCAGGGTTACCAGGTGCTCAATATATAGGTCAGAGTGGCACACCCAAATGCAGTAGATGTTGCCTCCAATATCCAGAGCACTATGCCTCTGAATTTAGTCAAAAGTGGTGCAAGGTACAGGATCTTGTCTAGAGCAGATATGCATACCTGCTACTCAGAAATGTCACTGATGTGTCAGGCTCCTACGTTTTTATGGGCTATATTTGTATTAGCATGACATCTGGGATTCTTGCTATTTTCTACTTAAATGATCCAATTAGCTTGATGTCAACAATCATATCCTGTGAAATGTCTAGATGAGTTCAGTTCTGAGGTTTAAGGTGAAAGCAAACTGATTTTGATAGTCTTTACTAATTGATATAGGGAAACCACATTTATCTGAATACCAACTGCCAGTTGATTTGCTCCAACAAAGATGCTCCTGGAAAAGTAGCTGTCATTGGAGTCACCACTTAATTAACTTTACAGGGATTCACAGGAATTTTCCAAATCCATCTGGCTTCTATATGGCCAAGCAAGTAAGTTAAACAAGGATGTGATAGGAATTAACAGCCTGTTAATTTTCAAGTCTTTAAATGGCAACACTAATCTTTACAAGTGTTAATACTTTTTTTTTAAGAGAGAGATAATTTTTTTAATATTTATTTTTCAGTTTTCGTTGCACACAATATCTTTATTTTATTTTATTTTTTATGTGGTGCTGAGGACTGAATCCAGGGTCCCGCACATGCCAGGCGAGCGCGCTACCGCTTGAGCCACATCCCCAGCCCAATACTTTTTATTTACTATCTTAGTAGGAGAGATTTTCCACTGGTTTTCATTTGACTCTTAGCATTTTAGCCCTTACTCCTTGGGACAGACACTATTGCAAATATTCTACAAGTTGCTAGGTATAATATTCCAATCATAAATTCAGCAGTAGATTTTGCTTTTATAAATTCTGGGACTTCTCTAAAATAAATTCAGGGCAAATTTTAATTTATCCTCCACTCTCCCTAAGTCTCAATTCTGTTCAGTAGACCACAGTGGCATTTTCAGACTCTAGAAATAATGCTTCAACTCAGAACTAGCATCCATTCTTTATTTTCCTCCAAGTACACAGTCATTCTAGTAAGTGACTTGATGTCCTCCCTCAATTTAATAAGCAGAAAAATTCTTAGACCCTGTCACAGTTAACTAAGATAACATTAAATGCAGCATCTCAACTCCCCTTTAATCAAAGGACTCATGGTCTGTAAACTGACTTAGTTATAGGAACGTATCAAGAGACCATTTATTATTATTATTATTATTATTATTTTATTATTATTATTATCATCATCATCATCATCATCATCATTACTCAGTTCTGGGGATTGAACCCAGGGGTGTGCTCTACCACTGAGCTACATTCTCAGCCCTTTTTATTTTTAATTTTGAGGCAGGGTCTCTCTGAGTTGCCGAGGCTAATGTCAAACTTGCAATCCTCCTGCCTCAGCCTCCCCCATAACTATTTGTCATGACAACTCAAGTTAGATTTCCATCTCCAGGCCTAGAGTTTGTTCATTAATATAGTACCCATTGTTCTTATTGAAATTGAAGGCTCATTTCAGAATTTCCCCACACTGATTCATTTCTCAATGACTTAGTGAAGGAAAATGTCCTCAAAGCCTCACCCTCACTGGGGAGCACAGGGTGAAGGGAAATGGATTGAACATAATAAATTCATTCCAACATTCCTGCCTCCCTAAACCTTTGGATTTCTTCTACATTATGCCAGTGAAATTACGACATTTAAACCTCATTAATTGTAGGCTACCACTGAATTCAAATCTTAGTTTAATAATCAAGAAAATTCTTAGACCTTGTCACAGTTAACTAAGATAACATTAAGTCCAGAATCTCAAGTAAGTATACTTGTTTCAATAACTTTAACTCAGTCCAATTTTATATTCCATTCATGTTGGTATAATATCCTTATAATTCATCCTCTTATGGGTTTACATACTAATACACATTAGCAAGAGCTTGAAATTCTTTTATGGTAGTAGCTGTCTCCTAGAGATCAAACCTTAACATGTATTTGACTCCAGATATTTGGTCTACAGGTAATGAGAACAAAAGCCCCTTGGAGATCCAATTATTTTGGATAGGAATAACAAAGCATTTTTAAGCAGGAAAAGTCTTGTCTCCTCAGAAATATATTTCCACTGACAAGGGACACTCCAGATTCATCTGACTCCACCCAAGTGTTCTCATCCCACTTGTAGTCCAAGTCTTTCCAAGTTCTCTAATTTTAACACAAGATACTTTGAGAAGTTCTGATTAACCACATTACACAATTATATTTTTGGCCTTATTCTCAGTTGTATATGCTTTACACACACACACACACACACACACACACACAATGGCCCCCAAAATTCATCTGGCTCTGTGTCTATGACTCGAGTGTAAATCTCTATGGATTTCTTAATTCATTTCCAAAACTCCTTTTGCACAATCAGATGCGGCATTCCTTCCCACACATCTTGTACTCAGTATAACCACAACGTGGTGCTACAATACAGCAGCAATTTAGTTCTCAGTCTTCCCTTCAACTGATTCTTCTTCCCAAGTTTCTAGAGATGATAAGGTAATCTAAATAACTGTGATGCCACTATATGCCCAAGGTTTGTAGCAACCCTGTTCTACTTGTAAAAAGGTTTTATGTTAGTCCAACTCAAATGGGTGAGCAACCCAATCCTAAAATCTCATTCTGAAAATCTGATTCTAAGGGTCTTTGGTAAATAGTTGCAAAAATACCATTATTTCCTCTCTGTATCCATAGCCATAAGAGAAAGGGGAATGGATTGAACATAATAAATTCATTACAACATTCTGCATTGCCCCCAGTTAACAGTCAGACATGTGAATACAGGCCAGAAAGCCCCAAGAAACCAACAGATGATTGTAGTTCCATGAGTGCTCCCTAGATAAGATTAAATGAGCCTGGTTCAGATCAACAGAAGCACACAAATGGCCAGACTCATGAAAAAAAATAAAGCATTGTTGCTTCAACCCATTAAGGTTTGGGGTTGTTCGTTTTACAGTAAAAGCTGATTACCAGACCACTTCTGATACTAGAAATTATATCAAGAAGGATGAATCAGAAAATCTGGGTATTTCAAATGAGATATTTTAGTGTCAGAATTGGTTATACAGATGATGAAACTGCTAAGTAATTAAATGGAACAACAAAGAAACTGAGAAGGTATGACAGTCTTAGTGCCAGAAGGACACAGAAAAGCCAAAAGCCAGGATCATCAGTAACTGCAAGGAGTGGGAAGAGAAAGAGGAGATTTCTGCTCATTTCAGCTTCCACACTGAAAAGAAGAATACTGCTGCTTCTCAGATTCAGAGTTATCCCTAAAAGAAAGATGCTCAGATTCTGGGCAACTAAAACATAAAAATGTACATTATGTAGTATGAATGTTTTATGTTTAAGAATTTTATACAGTATGAGCTCTTTTGTGTGCGTGACTTCTTTCACTGTATAATTATTTTAAGGTTCATTTATGCTGTGGTGTATATCAATACTTCACTCTTCTTTATTATTCAATACTATTCTAATGAATGGATATGCTACAGTTTATTTAATCATTCATCTTTTTTTGTCTTGGTGTCAGGAGTAGGATAATCATTCATCTATTGAAGGCTATTTCCAGTTTTTGGCTATTACTAATAAAACTACTATGAACAATCACATATGGCTCTTTTTATAGACATATACTTCCATTTATCTGAATAAATACCTAAGAGTAAAACTGCCAGATTGTATAAGTGTGTTCTTAGCTTGTTAAGAAACTGCAAACTCTTCTCCAAAGCACCTGTATCATATTATATTCCCACCAACAGCATATGAGAGATCCAGTCTCTATATTCTTACCAGCACTTAGTTTTCTTAATTTTAGCTATTCCCATAGGAGTGCAGTAATTTGATATTCTGGTTTTAATTTGCATTTGCCTGAAGACTAACAACATTGACCATCTTCTCATGTATACATTGGCCTTCTACATCCTTAGATTCAACCAACTGTGGATCAAAAATATTTAAAAAAAAATTATACCTGTACTGTACATGTACAGAATTTTTCTTGTCAATATTCCCTAAACAATATAGTATAACAATTACTTACACATTGCATTGGGCATTATAAGTAATCCAGAGATGATTGACAGTATACTGGAGAGTGTATGTTAGCTTATACCCCAATACTACACCATTTTATATAAGCAAATTGAACATCACAGACTT